TGGCAGGTTCTGCCTCCCTTTTTGCAGCTCTCCTTGTGCTCACACTGGGCCCCTCCTCCTCTGCATCAGAACTCTGCCTTGAGTCTCCATCCTTCCTCCCTCCTTTCCTCCCACACCTCCATATCGAGAGCCTACTATGTACCAGGGGTATCAGAAACTGGTATCATGAAGTGAACACTGATATACACCTATTCCTGCTGACATATCCCCACAGTCCTTACCACAATGAGTACCATAGACAGAGTGAGGCTGGAAATACTTAAGAATGAATTTATGCCTGTGCCAACAAACCAGAATAGATGATGGCCTTAGAAAAGCATCCAGGCCATTCTGGTGGTATTGGTTATTACTCATGACTATTTATACTGTTATGTCCGCTTTTGCAGATAAGGAAAAGAATAATCTGAAAATTGAAGCTACTTGGACAAAACCACAAAGCACAAAAGTAGGAATTCACATGCAACCTTGTTTTAGTCCAGTATCTGTGTTAAGCACTCTGGCTCATAAATTAAAGCTTTATAATGTGAGGAGGTAATGCTGCGCTGACCCAGTGCACAGGCACCCTGACAAGCTGTCTGGTCCCAGAGGTGTGGAAGGACTGAGGGAAGTCAGGTCCAGAGAAGGCCAGAGGGGTGGAGGATGCTCTGCAGCGGATGACCCAGTTGGCTTTCCTGTCCCCAGTCACACTATGTGGTCACTTTGCACTTGGAGGCTGGCAGCCCAAGGTTACCAGGACAGCAGCATTCTGGACCTGGCTCCTGCATTTAGTTCTTCCCAAGGTTGAAATTGCCCTGTGCCCTAGTATAAAGATTTTCACTGCCTTTTTCCTTCTAGGCCTTATTTTCCTCTCCTAAGAGCAGAGATGCTTCTCTGATTGCAGCTGAAACAACAGAGATCACCTGAGCCTCAGCCTATTCCAAAATTCCTAAGAGGCTGCCAGCGATGACTCAGTGCCTTGGCAGCCCTGCTCGCTAAGGACCTGGCCTGGGACTTCCTGTGAGTCTGCGCTGTGCTGGGGCAAAGGAGACAGTCAGAGGTCCTGGAGACCTCTTTCTCAAGTGCTGTGGCTTCAGAAGCCAAGTCCTGTGATTGGCCTGGGGTGTGTCAGTGATTTCCAGGTGTACAGGGCCACGGGCTGCCTAGGAGACAGTTCAAACAGTGTGCAGGCCAGGCCCTGCCCCGCCTCTGGAGCTCAGTGCTGGGAATTCCTGAGGACTTTAGTTCTCTGTCTCTCCTTGACCCTCTGAGGATGTGAGGCTGGGATGGTTACAGAGTGGGCAGCTCGCTCCAGCCTCCCTTTCTGTAGTGTGTGGATTCCAAGCACATTCTGAAAATCTGCCCCAGGTCCTGCTGGGCTGGACTGAGACTCAGCTCATTCAGTGTGGTCTTCATTTTTGTTTACCACCTTGACTTGCCATTGCTTATCCCTCTCTCTCTGTCTATCCTCCTCACTCCAAGCCCTTAAATTGTGATAATTTTGAGCACCACCATGTGGCTTAATGCTTCATTTCTTCTTACTTTGTATTTGGAAGTAGAGGGGAATAAATCTATCATGGGTTGGATCTTCTGTTAGTCTTTTAGTACGGAAATTCTCATCAGTCTCCTCGTTGCCCACACAGTGGGAATGCACATCACAGGCTTCTGGTCCTGGTCGCATCACTAGCTAGTTTGTGACGGTGAGTTGCTTCCTCTCACTGGGCCTTATCTGTAAGCTGCAGGAATTAGGGGAGAGAATGGAACGAGGAGGAGAGGATCCCTGCAACAGGATGCTGGGGAGCAGTAATGACCACACTCACGAACTATTTAGACTTTAACCCTTGGCAAGAGAATCTGCTCTACCACTTTGCGTACGGGAGCAGGCAATCAGCAGCCTGATCTCCTAAAGAGCAGAGAATTCTCAGTAAGAAATAATTGGGTTCTAATCTAATCCAGTTTTTGTGCCTTTCTTTCTAAGTGACCTTGAACAGGCTTTAACCTCCCATACTCTAGTTTCCTCGTCAGTGACATGGGACAGCAATATCTGTCCCTCTCGAAGGAAGAGGGGGTTGCTGTCAGGAACTTGCGACATAATGGAGGTGGGAATCACTGTTCAAACCTGAAGTTTCTGTGTGCATGCAAAATGTTGTTATTTGGCGCAGCTTGTGTCCCCTGGGAAACAGCACAGAATGCAGTACTCAGGATGTTTTTAAGAAGTGCGCTTGTGGAAAGAAGCGGAAGGAAGCAGGAGGGGGCACAGAGGGCAGATGAGATGTGAGGTAGGCCCCAGAGCTTCAGCTAAATCAACTGGGAGTTGTGTCCTGCCCTGGGCCTTTTCATGACCATGAGTGAGGCTTGGCCTGATGCGCTGACGGTGTTGCTATCAGCTGAGGAAACAAATTTTTCTGAGAAGGAGGGTCTGGGAGGTGCATCTCCATGTCCACTTCTTTATTGTGGATAATTAGACGGTCACCCCTAAAATCAGGTTGTACTCATCACAGATTGGAATAATACTGGAGTCCCCAGCATTGCAGTGCTATTTACCAGCTCTCTAGATTAATGACTTCGGTTCTAAGTTCTGAGAAAAGAATGGGAAACTCCTTTATCGTTTGTTGTTCTCAGAAAACCGTTGCTTTTGGCTGTGCTTGGAAGTCTTTAAGAAGGACACAAAATCAAGGAATTAAACAAATGAATTGATTTAATTTAATTTAAAGCACTCCACATGTGTGTATGTATACACATGTGTATATACATATGCGAATAAGCATATGTGAGGGTGTATTTACAGGTGAGCATATGTATGGCAATTGGGATGAGAGAGAGCTGCAGTGACAGGTGTTCAGTGTAGAAAACCCCACATGAACAGTGAGTGTGATTATGACAGTGTCAATTTGCTTGTGCTGCACCATTCATGCACTTCTCTAACATTTAGTAAGCCTCTGCAATGTGCAGGAACTGTGCCAGGATCCTGGGAAGAAGAATAGTTAAGATATGTTCCTTCCACTGGAAGCTTATTATCTCATGGGGAGGCATACAATTCGACACAAAAATCTGGGCTACAGTGAGAGATCTAGGTGGGTACACACATCAGCTGGGGCAGCAGGGGCTGGCATGGGTCCTGCCTGGGCAGGAGCCCTTCAAACTGAGTCTTGATGGATAAAGGAGTTACTCAGGCAAAGATGATGGGAAAGTGTGAGTAGGACTTTCACACACAGAAATGACTGGAAAGAAGGTCACAGGAGTCAGAGTGAAGAGAGGGTCAGAGGTCAGAGGAAAGATTCCTGAAACCATATATTTCACTGAAGGAATGTTAACTTTCTCATGACAAAGGGGTAGCATAGCTGACCACATTTCCATCTTAAAGTCACATTCTGGCAGCAGTGCAGGGGTGGTGGCTGATGGACTGCAGGGCCTGGGTGGGTTCCTGTGTTTATGAGGATATATACCCATGGGGCTGTCTTTGTGTCCATAAAGATAGAATCTATGCACATGGGCTTGTTTTTCACTTCCCCCCTCTGTCCCAAGCCCAGGCATTAGCGCCAGGGGAGACAGAATGGAGAAGCTGGGAAGGTGCGGGTATGTAGCTATGGCCCAGCTTTTCCTTTCCTGGTCTCCTCCTCTCTGGACACTCAGTCTGCACTGAAGTCATACATTGGAACTCACACATCTAACTCTGCTCTCTCCCTCTTTACAAAGTCATAAGAAGAACAAAAGCCACCCACTTATCACATTTCTTATACAGAATAATGTACACCATAAGGAAAGGAAGAGGCATGTGGTCTTGTTATATGAGTGTAAGACCTAGAACAGTATGGTGAGTAGTTGTGAACTTGGAATTTAGAATTCAGGAAGTATACTTACTGGGTATATAAGTTGCTTCATTCATAAAATATAGCTGCTAATATCTCATAGGATTAAAGGTGTAAAGTACCTAGAAGAGTGCCTGATGTATCATAAATATTTCGGTAGAAAACTTAGCTAGTCTTACTTGGGTTTGAGTTCTCTCACTTGATGAAAACTCATTTGATGAAAAGTTGAGACTTTGTTCAGCCTCTAGAAGAATCTGTTGACTGAGATGTTGGTCAGTCTTTTACTCTTCTGTCCCCACAAATTCATTTTTTAAAAAAATCTGGCATAGATCTTTGGTTTTAACAGATCTTGTTGGCCAAATTTCATTATTAAATAATATCCCCTATGACCCATCAATGTTTTCCTTGGCCCTTCAAAATGTTAGGAGTGATGTCCAACGTGTGATACTGAGAACTCCTGGATCAGGTGGGATTATCCCTTAGGGGGCCACCGTTCCAGCTCCAGTATCAGATACTGGCACCTCCACAGCAAAAACTAAGCACTTTCATATATCTCTGGGCCCTAGAATGGGTGACCAAGTAGACCCTGCACTGGAAGATGCTCATGTTGGCTTTCAAAATACTCTGTGTCCTGGGTGCCAGTGTCTTTCAGGCCTGTCATTCTCAGCAGTGCACATTTCAGGAAAGGTCAGGGAAGGAAAGGTCCTGACTCTTTGATGGGGATACACCTTGTGTTTAAAATTTAAGAGCAAGTTACTAAGGCTGTGAAAGGCCATTTTTATGGTGATTGATATTTTGGCCTGTATGTGCTAGTACATTAAATTAATGCAAACATCTTCCAGGCTATTATTGTTATCCCTGTAGACTTCATGATGAAACTGTTGTCAGAGAAGTTATTTGTTCTAGTTCAAATAGCTAGTGACAGCATTATGTGAAATTTCTTACATATATTAAATCACATGATTTTTACCCATCTCTGATGTAGTGATTATCTCCATTTTGTAGCTAAGACAACTGAGGCTTAGCAAAGTTAAAGGACTTATTTAAGGTCATCAAGCCAAGAACTGGCCAAGTGGGAGTTGAAGTACAGTTTAACAGTCTTTCTTCAACTGCTGCTGGCAGGAAAACAGCAATTAGGTGACATCTCTCCCCTGCTTTGGCATCCTGGCAAACCTTGTAAAAAGACCCTAGTTTGTCAGGTGGATGGAAACCTACCTTGAATGTCATCATTGAACATACAGTACTTGTTGCGGTATTTGTTGAGCAGTCGGAAGGCATTGGCATTGGCAAAGTCTTCAAACTGGATGAGGCAATTTATTCCAAACCTGTGAGGAGAAAGAGGAAGGAATGCATGATTGCCTGCCTGGGGGAATACCCCTGGCAGATGGCAGGCTGCATGGAGGAGGAGGAGGGAAGCTCAGACCAGCAGGTTTAAGGTAAAATGGTCTCTGTCTGGTTGGATGCAGAACTCTTGGGCTTGGAGTTCTGCCAGCCCCATCACTGATGGGGAGAAAGGGAAAGAGTAGGCACTGGGCACCCAAATCAACATCACTGTGTATAACATGGGCTAGTAGCTCCTCTGGGCTGCCATGATGGATCTTGGGAGTGCTGGAAGGCCTGGGATAGGCCTGTCTCCTCTGTAGCCTCTGGCCATCTGAGATCACAGAAGAAAGCTTGAAGAGCCAGGCTTCCCCACCACAGATAGCCAGGAGCTTCTGCAGCTTCCACATTTCTCCCTTGCCAGACCCTGAGGCCTGAAATTCCTCCACTACAGACTTCTCTATATTCAGGCATCATTCCTTGATAAGACGTAAGGAGGCTGGGAAGGACCACCCCATGAAGCCACTGTCATCTACTCACATCTTGAAGTTCTTCTCCAGCTTACAGGAATAGAAGAATCAGTGAATGAGCCTCTTTAAAATGCAGATCACCAAGCCCATTTCATAACCCAATGAGTGAGTGTGGAATTTGGCTCAGGAGCTTGCATTTTAAACAAACATTCTAGATAGTTCTGACAGCCTAGATAGCTGTGGAAAACACTGCCCTGGTGGATGAGGACAAGGCCCTTCAAGCTGTTTGATATGCCTATTGGAAATCTGTGTCAGTATTGCCTTCTGGATTTCATATCCTTCCAAAAAAGGAGAAAGAGGAAGAGGAAAAGGAGGAAGAGGATGAAGAAAAGGAGGAGGGGAGGACAGAGACTGGATTCATTCAAACTTTGTAAACTATTTTTCCTTTTATTGTTTGCTGTTTGCCAGGAAGCTGAGACAGGTTTCCTGCTCATTTGCAGCAGGCGTCCTCAGTCTAAGGTTCCTGAACACAGATTTCGCCTTACTCTGTTCTCGCCCTTTGATTCCAGTACTTGATCATTTTGTTGGTGTTTCTTTCTGGAAACTGGCATGGTATGAATCATTAAAAATTTCGTAAGACAGGGACAAAGAAAAGTTTTCACATCACGGGTCAGTTTGTGATAGAATAACCGTATCTGAGGTGATGTTTATTGAGAAAAAGTTCTGACTGATTTCCATTAAACACAGGAGTGTCAGGGCATGTGACAGAGAAAAGTGGCCTGCCATTCCTAGCCCTCTGAGCTACAGGCTTGGGGTCTGCTGCGAAGGGCTTTATTATTTTACTAAGAGGTGGGCAAGGTGCCTCCTTGGGTTTCCTGTGTGCTTGGGACATCTTTCCGAGCTTAGTGACTACAAGGGGTGAACAGCACTGACTGACGCGGAAAACATCTTCTCCAGCCTCATAATTTTATGCGTGGCCTACCCTGTCCAGCATAAAGGCCAGTAAGGGGGCAAATACTTGCTCCTGCTGTTGTTTTCCAGAGCCTTTCTTGATAAGAGAGCTACGTCTCTGGTGGCACAGCTGGAGTTGGGTTCACATTATTAGGATAGAAATGGAGAGGCGGTGACTTGCCAGCATTCACCGATAAAGAGTGCAGGCTTGAGTTAGGAGGCTGTGGGCCGGACGGCCTTCCACACTCACCTGAGTGACCTCGCTCATGTCACCTTACCCTCTATTTCTTCCTCAGCTTTCCTTTTGCCAATGGGTACAAACATATCTACCTGGCCAACTTCTGTAGACTGTTGTGAAGATGAAATCCAAGGGTGATTTTATCCTAACATTACTGGGGTATAATCTACAAATAAAGTTTTATATATTCAGGTACACAATGCAATGGTTTGGTATATGTATATACTGTGAAATGATTATGGCAATCAAGCTAGTTAACATATGCATCATGTCATAGAGTTTTTTTCCGTGAGAAGAAAACTTAAGGTCTACTCTCTTCGCACATTTTACATATATAGTATGGTACTTTTAGCTATAGTCAGAGGATGATTTCGCACAGTAAAGTCTTAAAGTGTCATGCTGGCCACAACTCTTACAATCATAGAGTAAGAGGTCTACCATGTAGCTCTCTTCTCTTTGTAGAGGAGTTCTTGAGGGAGGAAGGGTCACAGGCTGGTATAATTAGGGCAGAGCTTTGAGTAGCCCAAAGGAAAATTCTCCCAGTTGCTAATTTGCCTTGTTTAGGAGTCACCATATTTTTTTCAATGTTAATAATCAAGATAATTAAATGTAGCCATCTTATTACACTGAGGGATGTGTAATTGTGGATTTTTGGTTAAAGGTTTTTGCTGCTCTAAAAATGTTATTTTGAATTGTAAGAGCAAAAAATAATTTTTTGTACATTTTTCTTCATTTAATTGGAGTGAATTTCAGGTTTTAGCAAATAGGGTAAGTATAAATTTAAATGATTAAGCATTTATTGCTGAATAATTTATATATTTCCATTCTAAGAAATATAAGTGAGTGAAGTTGAAGTAAATTCTTTAAAGTTAAAAAAACTGTAACAGTAGTGAAAAGATACTAATCGTACCTCCCAGCTGAGATACACTTAGTGTGAGAGAGAAAACAGCCTTGAGAGCTTATAGTAGAAATAGTGGCCTCAGAGAAAAGCCAAGTTTCAACAAGACCAGGAAGATGAGTGATTAGAGCAATGATTGGGGAATTTATTGATCACAGATCTAGTTCCAGAAGGTTCTAGAAAAGAATTTAGAAGGGAAATAAGGTGTAAGGGGTTGGGTTGAACAATGCAAGGAACATAGCACAAGCCTTGAACTTCTCAGTGCTCCTGAGAAGACTTAAGGACTTCTCCCTGTGTATCCCAGCTGGATAGGACTAGAGGGGGCTATGGTGTTTTCCTGTGCAGTATCATTAGGTGTGTATCAGCACTTCCATTCCCAGTCTGCACAAATGAATGCAGATTGTAGAGGGAAAGGAATTTCATAATTTCTTCAATAATGCATCCTATGGCTTAATAATCTTTTAAAAATCAGTACCCAAAACAGTAGCTGCACATAGTAGGTGCTCAGTAATAGTCATCCCTCTATATCTGCAGGTTATCATCCATGGATTTACCCAACCCCAGAACTGAAATTTTTGAAAAATAAATTGGATCTCTAGTGAGTATGCACAGACTTTTTTTCTCTTCAGAACTCCCTAAACAATACAGTAAAACTATTTACACCGCATTTGCATTGTAAAGATTGTATAAGTAATCTAGAGATGATTTAAAGGTCACAGAAGTTTTGTACATGTTGTATGCAAACACCATGCCATTTTATATAAGGGACTTGAGCATCTGTAGATTTTGATATCCACAGGATCCTGGAATCAATCTCCCTTGGATACTGAGGGGCGATTGTACTATGAATAGAAAGGATAAAATCCTCCCATGCACAGATATTATGCTCACCAAGGCAAAATTTACTGTGAATTTTTATTTGGAGTATGAATTTCAAGTATTTGAGTTGGGAGTTGGGAACAGAATGTCTTTGGTTGTTGGCGACATTTTACTATATATAATATGTCCGGCATCGCTTCACAGCTAGCCTGGAGCTAAATTCTGAAAAGGTCAGACAACTAAACAAGCACTGCATGTTCTCTCTCTTTCTCTGACAGACATGCGGGCGCGCGCGCGCGCGTGCGCGCGCACACACACACACACACACACATACACACTTGACCTTTAAGTAACACCACCCTCATTTGGTGAGGTAAAAAATAAGGCAGGAGTTATAAATGAATATACTTGTCCTGTGGGTTTCATTTTTAATTCAGTTTTATATAAAACTCCTCTCCTTTCCATGGAACAGTCTGATGGAAGATAGAGTAGACTCTCATGAATTAAATCCCAACTTGGAACTGTATAAAAGGCTGTTTGGGCCACCCACCCAGTACTGCAACTGAGAGTTCCTAGGCCTCCAAGTCCTCCAGGACTCTACCCTTTTCAACTGGCATCCTTGAGGCTGCTCCCTGGGCCTCTCCTCTTCAGAAACTTCTCCTATGGTAGAATTTTATACTGTCTGCTTTCATAGCCTCTCCTTCCACTTCCCCTCACTTATACTACATCTGCTCTTTGTCTGCATCAAGACCTCTGGGCCTTTCACCAAGTTATACCACTCCCTTGGCCGTTCCTGGATGCCTCCTCATGAAATCAGTCTAAATCAAGAATTACTTCAGTCATTGGTCCTACCACAATCCATCCATCCATCCATCCATCTATCCATCCATCCATCCATCCACCCATCCATCCATCCATCCATCCATCCATCTTCCCATCCACATCTATTGAATGCCTATCATGATCTGATACTATAGTGCAACAATGTCTAGGAAAGGGTGAATATATGAAGAAGTTGGTAGAAATTTAGCATTGTGAGTTTGCTTGACAACTTTTTAAACTAATTCAAAACTATTTAAAGACAAAAACAAAATTTCATTGTGAAAATATGAATGGCCCAGATGGAAAAACTTTTTTCAGTTCATCCATATATATCCAAATATACAGACTTCCACTGTAACAAATTTAACTGTTAACTACCACTTATCTTACATACTCATTAAGTGCCAATAGCAGTGGTAATAAAAATAGTTATCCTTTCTGACCTGCTAAGCATCACACCAAGCTCTTTACACATTATCTCAAACCTCACATGACCTTATAGGAAGTAGGTGCCATTTCCCAAGGAGGAATCCTGACTGCAGATGTTATCTTCCTAGGAGTATTTACTCTACTCCACTTGGTAGGTAGTGGAACTGGTAGGGATTTGGATATGGCTGTAATCTGACTCTAGATTCTGACTTAGTGTAGCCTGAAAAGGAATATAGATTTGCAAAAGACAACACTAGGTAATACAATTGGATTTCTCTTAGCATTGGGAAACATATGGTGAAGAAAACACTGGACTAGGAGATGGAAGAACCATTTTCTTCTCTGTCTCTGACAAAGACTACTAGTCTTGCCCAAGTG